AAGTGTGCACCAGCCCCTCTGACAGGCAGAAGCACCTGGGATCCATTCTTTCCCCCCTCTCCCTTCCCTTCGGCGAAGGGGAAGGGGAGGATCTCAGGCACTTCTGCCTGACGGAGGTGCTGGCGTGCCCACAGCCAGCCTGGGTGAATTATAGAATCATAGACTCATAGAGTGAAAGGGATCTCCAGGGTCATCTAGTCCAACCCCCTGCACAATGCAGGAAATTCACCAATACCCCCCACACACCCCAGTGACCCCTGTTCCACACCCAGAATATGATTAAAAAAAAAACAACCCAGGATCACTGGGGGCCAAACTGGCTTGGAGAAAAATTGTTTCCTGGCCCCAAACTGGCAATCAGCATTTCCCTGGGCATGTAAGAAAGGGTCACAAGAACTAAGCACTGATGCAACCCTTCCTGCTCTACCTCCCGTGATTTGCCTAAGTTCACACAATCAGCATTATGATCCTTTTAAAGTTGAAAGCATGATATAAATGCAAAGGACTATTTGTAAGATTATCTGTAAGACACAAGACCAGGACACATCTCACTTCTGGCAATCACTTGGAGAGGCACTATCACTCAGCTTCCATTGCCCCACACATACCCCACACTGGAATAAGAACATAATATCCGGCCATAGCACATTGCAATAAAGCCCCTACAACTGTATACAGAAATACTAAGCTTCCCTACCATTTGCCACAACTAACCCACCACACAATCAGGATCAAGACTCCTAAGTGGACCAACAGACAGGCATACACTCGTTTGAGAAACTGAGTATTACATTACAACACCTCTGGAACATTACAGATCAGTAGAGGCAGCACTGCACAGTGGTCAGAGTTGCAGATTGATGTGGGGAGTTTGTATTCACACTCTGCTGGCTGAGTGACCCTGGGCCAAATCTCCCCTTCTCTACCTAACCTACCCCACAGGGTTGTTGTGAGGATGAAATGGAGACTCATGGGCAGGGCCCCAGCTTCCCTGGCAGGAACACTATGTTAAGAAATCTCTCACAATTATGCAGCCATAGCAGGCAGGAGGGAAGGAGGCGAATACCTCCAGCGCCAGAGACTTGTAGAGGAAGAGTCAAACTTTGGGGACTTACCCGTGCACCAGAGGGCCAAGGCAGCAGGAGGCAAGAAGCCTGGGCGAGCTGGGCTCCTCCATGCCTGGCAGAAGATGAGGTGCAGAGGCAAGAGGTGGGCAAGCAGAACTCAGCCAGCTGCACAAGCTGCGTGCAAAGAAACTCCCGCCGCCCCAAACTTCAGGGCTGCCTCATTAAAGGAGTGCGGAGGCCAGACTCGCAAATGAGAAAAAGCAAGCTCAGGGTTCGTGGGTCGCATTTTGGGCTGTGGAAGAGGAACCGGCTCCATTCCTGGAGTTCTCTCGAGTTCCTGCGCTTTTGGTTTTGCTTTTTGCCAATCCACCTCCCAAGACTGCTCCAGGTGCTCCAGCCTGAGGGCTGCTGGGGGCAGGGCTCGAGTGCTCATTACTTGTAGAGCTGAGGCTCAATGTCTCCAGCTGCTCCGCCACCTTCCCTTCCCTTGGTTTGTTCAGGGAGCCCAAGCAAGCCAGCTGCTGGAGGGAAGGAGAGGCGGTTTAAACCACCTTCCCTTCCCTTGGCTTGCTCAAGATCCCCGCGGCTGCAGAGAGCCTGAGCAAGCCAACTGCTGGAGGGATGTGCATTCAGTTCGAATGCACCCCCGAAAATGGCTCATTCGGGCCCTTTTCAGGCTGCTGCAGGCCCGAATCAGATTCTCTGATCTGAATCGGCTTCCCGCAGATTGGCCCCATTATATCCTATGCGCCATTGAAGTCAATGGCGAAAACATAGGGTATATTCTGGGGGCTGGAGGAGAAGGGGTTTGAGGGAGAGGCTCCAAAATGGCAGGGTAGCTGCTGGAGCCTCTCCCCAAAATACCCGCCATGTTTCAGGAACATTGAACCAGGGGGTCCAATTCTATGGGCCCCCAAACAGGTTGCCCCATCCCCTCCATTGTTCTCTATGGTGGGGGGAAAGTTACCATAACTTTTTAAAGAGTCCCGAAGGAGGGCTGGGGAAGGCAGAATAACCGCTCTCGTGTGATGTCCGAATCACACGCGAGAGGTGGAATTTGCCCCTACGAGTCCAAGGCCACCACCCTGGGGCTCAGGGAGGCAGGAGAACGTTTCACCCCCTCCCCACGGGCATCGGAGCTGCCACCAAGAACAGTAGTGGCGGCCATAATGTTTTAAGGAGCCCCGAAGGACAGCTGGAGGAGCCAGAATGACCCCTTGCGGGAGAGGTGGAATTTGCCCCTACGTGCCCAAGGCCACCACCCCGGGGCTCAGGAAGGAGGGAGAATGTCCCCCCCCCCCCCCCGCGCAGGATGTCGCAGCTGCCACTGAGAACAGCGGTGCCGGCCATAACTTTTTAAAGAGCCCCTAAGGAGAGCTGGGGGAGCCAGAATGACCTCTCCTGTGTGATGTCACACGCGAGAGGTGGAATTTGCCCCTACGAGTCCAAGGCCACCACCCCGGGGCTCAGGGAGGCAGGATAACGTTTTGCCCCCCCCACGGGCGTCGCAGGGTCATAACTTTTTAAGGAGCCCCGAAAGAGAGCTGGGGGAGCCAGAATGACCTCTCCTGTGTGATGTCCGAGCGGCAACGCCGTGGACATCACGCGAGAGGTGGAATTTGAGCCTACAAGTCCAAGCCCACCACCCCGGGGCTCAGGGAGGCAGGAGAATGTTTTGCCCGCCCCCCCGCGGCTGTCGCAGCTGCTGCCGAGAACAGCGGCGGTGGCCATAATGTTTTAAGGAGCCCCAAAGGAGAGCTGGGGGAGCCAGAATGACCTCTCGCGTGTGATGTCCGAGTGGCAACGCCGCTCGAACATCACACACGAGAGGTGGAATTTGCCCCTACGAGTCCAAGGCCACCACCCCGAGGTTAAAGAAAGGAGGGAGAACGTTTCCCCCCACACACGGTCGTCGCAGCTGCTGCTGAGAACAGCAGCAGCAACCATAACTTTTTAAAGAGCCCCTAAGGAGAGCTGGGGCAGCCAGAATGACCTCTCACGCGAGAGGTGGAATTTGCCCCTGAGTCCAAGGCTCAGGGAGGCAGGGGAACATTTCGGTCCCCCCCCCCCACGGTTGCCCAACTGATGGCTCATGGGAGCAGGAGGCGGGGCTTATGTGCCCGCCCCCTGGGCTCCTGACTGGTGGAGCGGTGGTCCGGTGCGCTCCGGCAGGAACCGAGGCCTGCACACAAGTTAAAAACAACCCGGTTTTCAGTAAGAGTTTCATTAGCTCAGCATATCTGAAAAGTATGCTTCAGTCATAAGCATGATCACCTCAGTAAGCCCTATTGAATTGAATGGGATTCGTTAGTAAACCGCACTGTAGCCTTGGGAGGGGGTTTTGTTTGTTTGCTTGCCTTGCTCTTTGAGGGACTGGAGTTGAGCCAGGCTTGAGGCCTTTATTCTGTGAAATACTGTCCTCAAACCTACAGTCCCTCGTTAGCTCATTTGCTCTGGTTCATGGGATTATGACACATATAACAGTATATCCTAATTACTGTGATTCTTGACACATGTAACAGTATATCCCAACATACTCTGTGTGGCCAATTTAGCTTGTGTCATTCCATAATGTAAATCAAACAGCTTCTGATTTTTCACTTTTAATTGACATTCTGCCCATCATTGTGCCCACATGACAGGCACATTACTGTGTCTTGCTACATAAACCAATACATATTTTCTACTGTGTCTCCATTTAAAAGTTAATTTCACAAACAGATTTCAGCAGTACCACTAAAGATTATTAACATGGCTCTCATAACCATAATTATGACACTGTTAAGACAAGAACTCTATAATAGCTTGCTCTAATGCAAGTTCTCAAAATGTCTCAGAAAACATGCTCCAACATATCTTCTAACTGCCAAAGGGAAAGTGCAATTTCAATTACGGTAATCACTCTTAAAATATTTTTAATTTTTATAATATATTTAATTTTAATTAACCAAACTAGATACAACCACTTTAATTCAAAGCAGCCAAAAGATCTTAATGTGAGAGACAATGGCAAGCTTGGATATTCTGAAACAAAGAAGAAAATAGGACTTGAAAAATTATCTGAGAGCTAAATATGTTTTCCCATTCACAGTACAGGATTTTGCACCTGCAAGGCACTTCTTTATGAAGCTCAAATTAATGTAAAGCCTATTTTGTTTATGATATTCTCTTTGAATTAATTTCTCCAAGTAGAATATTCAAGTATTAAATGAACCCAAACATTCCTAATACAGATCAGATTTTATTTGTATTAAGCATGTTAGAACGTGAAAGGTCTGCATGATATCTGATAGACAATAGCAAAAGAAAAGGCAGCCTTCAAGGGAAGGTATTCACTGAGCAGAAGCTTCAAAAGCAGAGTGAAACTAACAATTCAGGACTAAGGTAATGAAACTGAAGCTACGCTGATATTAAAGAAAGGCAAAGAGCTTGAGGTACTCCTGTACTGATAATTCAGAAGTACACGACTCATTTCACACAGTTTTTGCAGGTACAAAGGAATGAACAGATAGATGGAAACCATACAGGAATATCCAGAATGCTGTTCTGGTCTGCTTTCTTTACTCTATAACAAACAGTGGCAGCCTAGGAAGGAGCAGAACAGTCCTTACTTAATATGACTGTCATGAACCAACAGATAGCAAATAAAGGTCTGGACGAGAAGCCCTAATCCTGGTGGCCCCTCCTCACTTTAATTCACCTCTCAGCACAAGCATTACAGGCATTAACAGTATTAAGATTTACATAACTGCCTAAGATTAAAAGCCCAAACAGCATTCTGTGATTTTCATTTTTCTCCAGCTGCACTGAAAAAAATATGAGCACCAAACAATAGATTGAAGGTTCACATTTCAAGGCTTGTCATTTTCATTGCAAAGGTTAAGTACACAGAGATATAATACACATTTTATACCATGAAAATGAATTTGTGGCTCCTTTCCCCAACAAAGGAAATATACACCAGTAAACCAAGCCCTGCCACTCTCTCACTTTTCCACCAGAGAAATAATATGGATGAGACATTTTTGTTCTTGTTTACAAGTTATTCTGATAGGTTCCATGGCTTCTTTTTGGCCATTCTGTCTCCACCCACTTCAGTAGCATTTTTTCAACATCAGCTCTTCGGTATAATTTACATAGATCAATCAGCTGCTCCACAGTCCTGTCACTGTTCCGTAGCAAAAACTCCAAGGTGGGACTCTGTTGCTTTTGTTCCAGGAAGCACAATTCATCATAGGTCATTCCCCATTTGTTTGCAAAGTTTCTCCAGTTTTTCACCGTTGGGTGGGATGGATCCAACTTTATCCTCATCATATACAACAAGTCCTCATCATTGAGCAAATCACTGATGATTGGTTGGCGAGACGTACATAAGGAGCAGGTGCCATTTTCTGTGAATGATTTCTTCAGAACTAGAATTACAGTTACATAGAAGAGTTATTGCTATGTTTCCTGTCACATAAAGCTGAGAGTTTGCAGTGTTAAATGTTTAGTGTGCTATACTGACTTTTTATGATGTAGACATTTTTCTCATGGTCTACATAAAGATCATAGAAAACATATAAAGATGCCTTCTGCTGAGTCAGATCATTAGTCCTTCTAGCCCAGAATTGTCTACTCTGGCTGGCAGGGGATCACCAAGATCTCAAGTAAGGGTCTTTCCCAGTTCTCTTACCTGATACTGTATTAACTGGAGATGTCAGAGACTGAACCTGGGACATTATGCATGCAAAACTTGTGCTCCGCTGCTGAGATACATCCCATAGAAATAAGCAAAGCCTGATTCCACTCTACTCTTCAGGGGTCACAGGATGCCTTCTTTAAAGCAGCTCTTGTAAACAAATGTTTGTGACAAAATTATGTCTAAATTAGTTATCCATGTAATGCTCCCAGGAAAATGCCAGGAACAAGATCATGGATTCCTATTCATGGATTCATCCTCAAACAAGTAATATGGGCAAGCAAGTCCATGTTAATTTCCTGCATGTATCTACTTGTTCATTTATGTCCTTCATTTATGCCCAACTTTTCTCCCCAATGGGAACCCAAAGTGGCTTACAACCACCTGAGGTAGATTAGGTTATGAGTGTATGACTGGCCCAAGGTCACCCAGTGAGCCTTCATGGCAATGTGTGGATTCAAACCTCAATCTCCCACATTCTAGTCTTACTCTTAACTACTAAACCATGATGGCTCATAGAATCCATCTCAGGAACTGCACAGTGTAGCTATACAAACACACACGATAACTCTTTGCAGTTCAACATATAACACACTGACAGTTCTAAACACCAGATGAAGAATAAAGGATGTGATATATAGTACAAAGCAATGTATTTCTTGTAATAATGACCAAAGGCCCATGCGTTACCTGAAACTGCTTGTATTCTTGCAAGCATCTCTGTCACTCAAAAATGTTTAATGGGCATGTATGAATGTCTGATGAGGCTGTCACAAAATGTGTGTGTGCAAACATAAACAGTAGGACTTGTTTTCCTCCATACCACTTTCCCCTTCCACACTATTTTCCCCATCTCCCAAACAACAAATTCTACCTCTGCAAAGGAGATGCTTTGGGGCTCACTCTTTAAACAGAGGATAGGCTCTGAGTAGGGCTGATCTTTGCTGCAAATTACTCTTCCCATTCTTCCCTTGTGTGTCTTCCTGCTGAGATTTATGGGAATTGTAGTTTTCTCTGCCTCCTTTAAAAGGCCGGGAAAATGAAAACTTCCATCAAATCCTCCAGCAATCCAGCAAGTTCTGAGAGTGTGCCCATGGCAGACACCCACTGGTTGTCTATATGATGATGAATGCTACCAACTGTGCAGATGCAAAAGTACCTGAAATTCTGACAGTTTGAAATTGCAAACAGATCATCAATGCAAGTGGATGGGGTACTCAATTCAAGAGAAAATGGGCATTGCAGCCAGGAAAAATGTGACTTTTGAACCAGTTATGTCATGCGTAAGGATCACAGTATCACTAATTACCTGTGAGTGATTCACCAGTAATACCTCGGCTATCATTAACTTCAGGCTGTAAACAAAAGCAATCATGCATTAAAATAATATAAAAAACACAAACAAACCTAAATTAATATCAACTCCCAAAGCTGGAATTGGAAGGGAGGATTAAGAGGACAATATTTAATGAGGAATTGGGAGAAATGAACCATTTTATGCAACATTTTAAACAATAAGGCAAAAAAAAAATCAATTTCCTGGGAGTAAACGCTACAACAAAAATGGGGTAAATGATTCCTGAGGCTTGGAAGAGCTAAATGTGGTAAGACCAGGAGGTTTGAAAAAGCAATTAGTTGCTGTCCTTGCTGTTGTCAAGAGGCTGCAAGCTCCATTGAAGCACCTTTTTATTATAGCTTCAAATGTAAAAGCACAAGGGATTTTCCCTTTAGACAGTCGCAGTCAAATACAGTTGGCTTTTGTGTAATGCCATTCACCCCTAAGTACCACAAAACACTCTGGAGGAGATCATAAACGGTGCGTGCAAATACAGGTAAACTATGCAGTTATATAATACATTGTAACCGGACACTTTTACCCACCTACTTTTAATTGCACAAGCAAATCTGTTCCAAAGAAACTACAAAGATGATTTATGTAGCAAGGTACACAGTGTCTAATCTGTATTCTGAGAAGACAAGAATTCTGGAAGAAGAAATAAGGAGAGCTTCATCCACCTTGATTTCAATTTATATCCAGTATTCACCACACTGTAGACAGTAGGGCAGCCAGGTCTCTTGCAGGAGATCTCCCAACCTGGAAACAACACCCCCCCCCCCCAATTCGCCACCGTTGTTTAGTAAGACAACAGGGAGGAAATGGGGGGGGGATGACAAATTGGCAGCAGGCCAAGGTCACAATGTCACTTCTGGTATGTCCCAGAAATTATGCCATCATGTGGTACAGTGCTGTAGAATTCACCTAGACTTTGGGGTGAATCCTAGAGCATCACATCAATGCAATGACATCAGTTCTTATTCACGCTGGAACACAAGTGATGTCATAGCATTGGCATGATACTAATCAGGCAGGTCCCTGCCCCCACGGTCTGCTGTGCTGGCAACCCTAGTTCTCAGTGATTTTATAATGCCAACTGAGGGCCAAATTAAATGTTACTTTTTTAATGAGAGAGATCTGGGGATCTGTGGGGAACTAGTTGCCAAAGTGCTGCAGGGGCCCAAGGCATAGGGGGAAGGAGGGGGCTTCAGCCTTCTCCTATGCTGTTCTCCCAAACAAAGACGGCCCTGGGGGTATTATTTGTGCTCCACTGAGGCACTGAATACTGGACATATATCCTACCCTCCCCCGGACTATTTCAGGTCCAGAAAATGGCAGAGGGGCAGGCTGAAGTCCCTACTCCCCCCCCCCCCCCCCCCCCCGGCGCTGGTCCTGATCTAAGTTAGTTCACAGCTGCCACCTGGCTGTGGGGAATGTATGTTGGATCAGGGGAAGCCAGATATGAAAAGCTGAAAACTGTCTAGTTTGGGCCAAAACCCATCCTTATTTCTGGTGTTTTTCTAATGCCTCAGTATTATATTCTTCACAGAAAGTTTACATCTATTTCTTTCAACAGACTCCTCTTTTTCATATAGCTAAGACATAAATTTACATTTTAATAGTATAGCATTATGATACTATAGTTGATCCTAATAAAGGTATTATATTGTTGTAAGGTTGCCAAGTCTTACCATCTTAATACCGGGGGAGTCCTGGACACAGTCGGGAGTTCTTTCGCGCACGCGCCATGATGACATCACCTGGAAGTGACATCATCACGCTGGGCATGATGAGTTTTCAGGCTGGTTGCTAGAGCGTTGCCTGGCGATGTGCCCAGCGTTATGACGTCACTTCCAGGCAATGTCATTGTGCCAGGCATGTCGGCCCAATCTGGCCACTTTGGGGGTGGGGTTCCCCCTGCCTCCCCAGGGGACCTGGCAACCCTATGTTGTTGCTGCTTTTGCACAGAACTCAGATACTCTTGAGAGTCCCTTGGACTGCAAGGAGATGAAATCAGTCAATCCTAAAGGAAATCAACCCTGACTGTTCCCCGGAAGGCCAGATACTGAAGCTGAAGCTCAAATACTTTGGCCACCAAATGAGAAGGAAGCACTCAGTGGAGATGACCCTAATGCTGGAATGATTGAAGGTAAAAGAAGGGGATGGCAAAGGATGAGATGGTTAGACAGTGTTATCAACGCAACGAACATGAAATTAAGCAAACTCTGGAGAACAGGAGGGCCTGGCGTGATGTGGTCCATGGGGTTGCGAAGAGTCAGACTTAACTGTGCAACTGAACAACAACAGATACTATTCAGCTACAATATGAAGCTATGTTATACTGATTCAGGCCACTAACAATGACTACCCAGGGTCTTTCAGAATACTTGCCACCTGAGATCTCTTCCCTGAAGATATGATGGACTGAACCTGGCATCATTTGTGTGCAAAGACAAATGCTTTATAGCAAAGAAAAATGTGTTATAGGAATATCCATTCTTCCCTAAAAACTGCTCTTCTGGATCAGTCCAAGGATCTAACATCTAGTTTCCTATGAGTAGGTATCAAGATAGCTTTGGAAAGCTACAAAGCTGGGCAGTTCTTCCTCAGAAGCCATGAATTCAAGGATACCCTACCAGACAAACATCTCCCCCTTTTCTGGCATAGCATCTAGGTGTCTACAGGAATGAAACCCAGGGAAAAGGTCCTATTTTACATGAGGAGTGGCCTGTGCATCATCTAGTTAAATATAATTCCCCCCAGTTTTGCCAAGCAACACATTTGCTTGTGCAATTTGTCTAACAAACATGGTTTCCAAACTTTATGTTCATTTATGCTCCATATGAACCTGCCAGAGTAATCCTCTAATCACATCAGTGAGAGTAATGAATGGAATAACCCTGAATCCAAATAAAACCCGTGTCCTATTTGCCAGACAGGGATTTCAGAACAAATTGCATAAAAGCTTGTTGGCTTCATTTTCTAGTACTAAATATCGATTAACACTGAACATCATTCTCTCTAAATCAGTGGCAGCCAGTGTTCCCTCTAAGCCAAGTTAGTGTGAGCTAGCTCACAGTTTTTTAGCCTCTGGCTCACACATTTTTGTCCTAGCTCAGGAAGGATGGCTCCAGAGTAATCTAATTTATGCAGCAGCCAAATCGCTCCCTCACAACTTTAATGCCAGTAGCTCACAAAGTAGAATTTTTGCTCACAGAACTCCACAGCTTAGAGGGAACATTGGTGGCAGCCAACTTTTCTCACAAGTTGAGTCCAAAGTACTGCCTCTGTGTGCTAGTGCACATGTGCAGCAAGCACGCACATGCCACTATGTCTCGAGGTAGTTTTGCTTCCAGGAAACAGAAGCCAGGAAGCAGGCAACCATGCAGTGCCGGGGAGACAGGAAAGAATGTCAGCCTATTGGGTGCCATAGCCAGGCTTGCATCAAGGCATGTCACAAATACCTGCTGCGCATGACACTGGTGACACCTGTGCAGCATGTTGGCTACCCAAGCTTTAAAAAATATAGTTTAATAAAAGTTTACCATGTATAACATACAAATACTTTTCAAACATTGGTTTCACAGATAAGATTATGCCTATTCCATAGCACACTAACTAATGTGTGTACTGTAGAAATAATGTAACTAGCCATTTGACAAGACTCTTTTATTGCCTGCTAACAAATGGCAAGATCAGACAAAACTCCGAATTTATGTTGCATGTGATGCAAGACAAGAAAAACCAGTATACCCTAAGGCAAAATATGGCTTCTGAATACAGTGAAGCATTTGGATGGGGGGGGGGGAAGAATTCCAATTTTTGCTTTACCAGGAGATTTCCTTCCTTAAAAGTCTCACTTCCTGATGTGACAGTTGTCATCCTGAGAGAGTAATTCTTTGAAGGGCTGCTCAGAATCTTACTCAGGTCTATTCAATGGTTCCTTATTAGCATTTCCCTGCCCTGATTGAAGTTGCAAGGACAGCAGCTAGGGCTAGAACACCTCCCCGGGCCAAGACAGTACTTATGGCAACATTTTCTCCCTTTTTTATATCCATTAACCAGCCTTGCCCTCATAAACATCACCACCAACCTACCCACATAAGGTTGGAAGCTTTTAAACTGGTCCCTCTAGCTTTCCCATTGACCATCAGCTTGATCTGCAAGCAGTCTTCAGGTGATGTTATTTAACTCCATGTCATGAAAAGCTTCAGCTGCTCATTTCCACTCATTAAAATTCTGCTGAAGGGAAATAACATTTTTTTCCAGTCCAGATGGCAACCTTAGTGGTAGTTCTCAAATGAGGCTAATGCAAAGAGTACACGAAGCAGACATGACTAACTAAAAGTGTATGTGATGTCTTAAGTTTGATGTATCAAAGCTTTAAAATGATAGCTTAACATTGTTTTCTTTACCTGTTGTATCAGGCCTGAATCTGATGTTAGGCTCCTAATGTTAATGGATGCTATTTCCAATGTCACTTTTTCGGTTTGGTATTCCTCACCTAAAAGACAAAAATTCTGTCACGTTCTGTGTTCTTGGGAAAAGACATTGCTGTCTAAAATCTAGCTAAAGGATCATGTCAGTTCATGCTGTGTGTTAGGCAAGAAGGGTGGTAGTATGAAGCCATGCAGTTTCATACTTCCCATAACACTCAGGATAGGGCAAACATTGACGATCTGCATAGACTTCCACACGCTTGACAATGAAAAAGAGACTAGGGTGGGGACAAAATAGCAACCGCTGGCTCCCACAACACTGAAGTCATAAATGAAGGCCTATGGATGAACATAATGAACAAGTGTGCAATAGGGGTTAGTGTTAGACCAGGAACAGCAAGACCCGGTTTCATATGTTCTGGATTCCTGCTCCCTCTTCAGCCTGGCCCATGCATGAGTAGAAATAATTTCTGCATGCACATGAAGGGGTTGGTGACTTTCACTTCAGTTTCATCATTTTGTAGTGCTTCTTTTTTTTTGTAATTATTTTTTAAGGAAAACAGTGGGGATACAGAATAGGGGCGGAAGGGGGTTGTACAACATAATTGTGTTTGTTGAGGACAATCATGTGTTACTGAATGTATAAGACAGAAAATATTTTCCATTACATCCCCTTCATTGTAGTTTTTAAAGATATTGTCTATAAAATACAATAGTTCTTACTTTTGTTGGGGTACAATTATATTCAACATTTTAGGTTTCAAACTTCATAGAGAATCAATTTGCAACTACATCATTGATTTCATCATTACTACGTATTCAATAATCATGTTGTGGTGCTTTTTGAGTCATGCAAAGGGCTGCAGACAGAAGAGGAACCTGGTACCTGCGGAGTGTTCTGCATGCAGCCATTTGGACCCTCGCCAATTAGCTTGTCTAAACACAACTTTTCCATAGTAGAATACAGAGAAATACAACATATACCACCAATAAAATGATATTCCTATTTGTATTACACCATTCAAGCATGCAAAGGGCCAAATATGATAGCCATTGCCATTTTCTGTACTTACCTTTTGGTGACTCTGTATCTTGAACAGGATATTTTTCTGTCTGTCCAAAAAACAGAGACACCTATTTATACAATGTCATTGCACCATACACATTTGACAACCTGCTGGTTTTCAGCCCTGTAAAGTCTTCTTAGTTAATTCCTCTACTTCAGTCCACAAAGCCAAACCACAGCCCTCACTAGCCATCTATTGTGACTCAACAATCCTCCTGTTTTGCAGGGAATAAGAGCAAAACAGAGGTATACATCATATGCAGTGAAATACTCATGTTATATTCAGTGATTTATTAAGCAAATCACTGAATACAACATAGGGATTTGATGGAAAACTAATGGAATATTGTATCTTTCTACAAGAATTCTACAGGCATCTCAATTAAATGCTTGAAGTGCAGTAATGAAACCTAAGTTTCTGAATGACATAATGTAAATCCCTACCTCCCCCCCCCAAAAAAAATCATCTTGATAGAGATATTAGTGTGCCTCATACATAACACAACCACCATGGTCTATTATTATGGGAATGAGCTTCAAGCATCCTCAGGCTCACACACTCCAACCCCTCACTACCCCTTCTCCTCTCGAGCATGACATAGAACAAAATACTTCTATTTTTGTAGCAAATCACAGTTTGGCATTACATCCAAACCACACACTACGGTTTGCTGTCCTTCCTAGAAATCAGGATTCCACACAAGGATTAAACCACAGTTTGAAATCCTGACTTGCAGGGAATAGAGCAAACTAGAGTGTGGGGTTCAAATGCAATGATAAACTTTGTTCTGTCATAAAAGCCTTTAAATACTGAGTTGTTCAGAAGGGAATGAGATGGGGGGAAGTCTTGCATTATTCCACAGTTGTTGTTACATCTGAAGCATACCATTGTTTGTACGGCCTATCATTTCAAGTGTAAGTGAACCAACTGCCGTAACATCATCGAAATACATCATGAAGTGACTGTGTGTGCTATGTGCTATCAAGTCACGTCAACTTATGGCAACTCTATGAATTAATGACCTCCAAAACATCTTATCATCTGAGCCTTGCTCAGATCTTTCAAACAGAAGGCCATTGCTTCCTTTATTAATATAAACATAAGAACATAAGAGAAGCCAATGTTGGATCAGGCCAATGGCCCATCCAGTACAACACTCTGTCACACAGTGGCCAAAAATACCAGGTGCTATCAGGAGGTCCAGCAGTGGGGCCAGGACACTAGAAGCCCTCCCACTGTTGCCCCCCCCCCAAGCACCAAGAATACAGTGCATCACTTGCCCCAGACTGAGAGTTCCTATCTATACCTTGTGGCTAATAGCCACTGATGGACTTCTGCTCCATACGTTTATCTAATTCCCTCTTGAAGCTGTCCATGCTTGTAGCCACCATCACCTCCTGTGGCAGTGAATTCCATGTGTTAATCACTCTTTGGGTGAAGAAGTACTTTCTTTTATCTGTTCTAACCCGACTGCTCAGAAATTTCAATGAGTGCTCATAAGTTCTTGTATTGTGAGAAAGGAAGAAAAGTACTTCTTTCTCTCCCTGTTCTATCCCATACATAATCTTATAAACCTTGATCATGTCCCCCCTCAGCCGTCTTTTCTCCAAGCTAAAGAGGCCCAAGTGTTTTAACTTTTCTTCATAGGGAAAGTGTTCCAACCCTTTTATCATTCTAGTTGTCCTTTTCTGCACTTTTTTCAATGCTATAATATCCTTTTTGAGGTGTGGTGACCAGAACTGTACACAGTACTCCAAATGAGGTCACACCATCGATTTATACAGGGGCATTATGATACTGGCTGATTTGTTTTAAATTCCCTTCCTAATAATCCCGAGCATAGCATTGGGCTTTTTTACTGCAGTCGCACACTGTCTCGACATTTTCATTGAGTTATCTGCTATGACTCCAAGATATCTGCTATGACTCTTGGTCAGTCTCTGCCAGTTTGGACCCCATCAATGTGTATTTATAGTTAGGATTTTAGGCTCCAATCCTATTGAGTTAATTCATTTCATGTTGATTTAGTGATTCTAGTGAATACCATCAAGAAAACTGCCAGATAGCCACCTATCTAATTTGAATCAGTTACAACCAGCAATTGAATAAACCGTTATATATACATTGCAGCAATTTCTAAATATACCTACCTCTTCCAAAGTGCTGGGGTCTGTATCTTCCACTGGTTCTTTTGATGCAAGATCTGTTCAAGACAAATGAAGGTTTTAAGTTGGATGCTGCCAGGGTGCAAAAAAAATGCATTAACCGTAGCTCTAGAGGGATGCTTATGACTTCTACAGAGACTCTACAAAAGCCTACTGTAAATGCACATAACAGAACAATGCCAGGTAAAACATGAATCCAGTGCCTTGTGGTACCACCATGGCACAAAAACATGAATCCATGGTCGAAAGTATCTGAGGCACAGATCCTCATGATTTTTACATGGAACCAAAATCATACATAATGCTCATTTACACTTGTTAAAAAATGTGGCTCCTCATGATTTCTACAAGGAATGTTCCTCAATGAAATGCCAAATCAGAAATAACAACCACAGGCATAGATTCCTCCATAAAGTATTGCATCTATCACTTTCTAATACCACCACAGCACAAGGTCTACATTTTTCCCACTTCAGAAACATCATCATGAACTTTCCATGTAGAAATAATGAGGAACTGTGAGTTTTTTAAACATGTTTGGGTGGCATGCTGATTTCATGATTCTCTAGATAGTGTTTTTATGGTCAAATCCATGGGCACAGATAAAATGAGTGATTTTATCATAGATCTGGGTGAGTTCCATTTTAAAATCATAAGGATCCTTGTCTCAGAGCAATGTTTTTTGCACCATGGAACTGAAAGAATGAGCTGGATTTTTGTAGGATTAAGGTAAAGGTAAAGGTTCCCTTGCTCGAAAGCCAGTCGAATCTGACTCTAGGGTTGCGGTGCTCATCTCCGTTTCAAAGCCGAAGAGCCAGCACTGTCCGAAGACGTTTCCGTGGTCATGTGGCCGGCATGACTAAACACCAATGCGCACGGAACGCTGTTACCTTCCCACCGAAGTGGTACCTATTTATCTACTTGCAATTTCTTGCTTTCGAACTGCTAGGTTGGCAGGAGCTGGAACTAGAGACAGGAGCTCACCCCGTCTTGCGGCACCCGGGTCTTGAACTGCTGAACTACTGACCTTCCACAGCCTGCAGAGGCCATCAAATTCTTGTAAACTGTGGTTTTAGTTTATTTTAGTGAAGTCCATGTAAAAATCATGAGGATCCATGAGGATCCATGTACGCACTGTCAATTTCAGTGGAGATCATGTAAAAATTTTAAGGATTTGTGCATACTTTTGCCACAACACACTCAAGTCAATTTTTGGGGGATCCAATTCAAGTGATGTGTGATTTTACAGTGGATTTTGAGGAATCCATGAAAAAATGTATGGGTCCATGGTCCATTTTAAATGCATTTTTATGCAAACCAGAGGTTTGGGTCAATTTTTTGTGTTGTACTCCATGGATGATCACATACTGTGTGATTTTACAGTGGTTTTTGGCATTCATCTAAATAAGGATCCATGTTTTTGTACACATTTCTGTGCCATTGTGGCATATTAAAGCATTTGGTCTGCGTTTTCTATGGTGCAGTCCTTGGACACATGTGTAGTGTGTAATTTATTAAGGATTTCAGTAAACTCCATGGCTGTCTCTGTACAGGTTGTTTGCCCCCCTGGTTCAATGCTGTTGCAAAGCAGGGGTTTCCCCTGCTTCCCTACATAATTGTGTCGCATTCATGCACCTCCCAGAGTTTCCCCAACTTTTATCTATTTTTCCCAAACCTGCTTTGCTGTGAAGTTTGGGAAAATATCATAGCAAACCCTGGATGGATGTTTTGTGGGTGATAAGTTTGGATTTTCCCTGTCCACTCTGAGGCCATTTCCTTTTACCTCTACTGGAAAGAGGGCTATAAACAGGCAACTGAATACTGATGTAATGTTATAACAATCTCTGAATTCCAAAGTTTTATTTTTTAAGTAACTCTCTAACCCTTTATGTTGCAGAGATATAAGAGGAAAGACATACCTCTGCAATGAAAAGGGCTAGAGACTTCCTTTTCAAAAACAAATGCTGTTAATTCAAACAGCCTGATACACAGATTGTTATAATGTTATATCGCTGTAACAATATTCAATCGCCAGTTTAAAAAATATGAAAAAATGTGTGTTGGTATTGGGGTGGGGGAATGGCCACTGCTGGAAACCAGCCAGGAAACTATGGCGAAATCTGTGGTGTGAAAAGCCCATTGCCACTGTGCCGTATCAGTAGCTAAAACAGCAAAGGGAAAACTACATAAGCCTGTCCCTATGTGGAAAACATCCATGTAAAAGTGATGAGGATTCATTTTTTGAATGCACTGTTGGTGCCATGGCGGTACCAAATCCAGAGTTTTGAATCATCACATTGCCATGAAGTACTTGCTGAGGTTTTTTTTACAGTGGTCTCTGAATGTGAAAGTAATTTTTTCTCCTTAAACAAATCATGAGAATTGATGAGGATCTGTGCCTCAGATCCATGTTTTTGTGCCATGTTTGTGTCATGAGGTGTTCTTTGAAGTGACTGGGTTTTAGAAGACTGCATGTAAGTATCAAAAGGATTTGTGCCTCAGGTTCATATTTTTGCACATAGTACAATGGAACACTGGATCCACCATTTTTAGAATCTAGTCTGTGGACATAACAGTTGATAGTGGAGCTATAAGAATTCTATGTTAAAAAATCTAGAGGATCCATGATGAATCCAGGTAGATCCAACTTCTATTTCCCCCCTCAAGATTGTTTTTCGGGCATTCACGTGTGAGATAAGATATATTTTTACACATTTGGACAGAGTTCCTAACTTTAATTAACAGAGGGTTTTTTTTCCTATTTCCATTGTTAAAATACTCCCAGGATAACATCAAAATAAATTTTATATTTTTTAAAAAAGTAATGCTGCCATCATTGTCTTGACCATGCAAGTAAAAGAGAAAATGCATTCCTATCCTGATTACTATAACAAACTTACATTGAAATTCTTTTAAAGAGGAGGAGAAGAAGACGAAGAAGAGGAGGAGATTGGATTTATACCCCGCCCTTCACTACCTGAAGGAGTCTCAGAGGTCTACAACCCCTTTCCCTTCCCCTCCCCACAACAGACACCCTGTGAGGTAGGTGGGGCTGAGAGAGCTCTTTCAAGAACTGACCTTGAGAAAACAGCCCTGAAAGAACTTATGAGTGACCCAAGGTCACACCAGCAGCTGCACGTGAAGGAGTGGGGAATCAAACCCAGTTTCCCCAGATTAAAGTCTGTGCTCCTAACCACTACACCAAACTGGTGTACTATTACACTAGACTACAAAGGAAGGTGTCATTGCTATCACATGTCTTAAAACCAGGGGTCTCACGTTTTAGGCTGCTGTTGTTGTTTTTGAAGTGGATGCTAGTCATCCATACCCAAATAATGTGGCCTGTACAATTACATTCTTTTCACATAATTTAAAAAGGCTCTGTAGCCAAATTATTCTGGAGATGGGTAGAAATTTATTCTTGTTGAAGGACACAGTGAGGAATTCAAAATTTTTGGATCAGGCAACTTTTAACAGCAATTTTGGTGTACTTCAGAGGGATGCTGCAGGGCTTAATCTATTCAGTGACTGAGTGAATGATTCATCAAGTACTTTGAGATCCTCAAGGTGAGGCGAAACTAAAAGGCTTTTAAAAAATTCTCTTTCCATACTCGAGTTATAGGGCGGGGGGGGGGGGGGGGGAGACTCGGCCTTGCACAAAAGCGTGCGTTTCCCCCCCCCAAGAGTATTCTGTGCTATAGCAAACTGGTCCTCAGCGGCTTGAAAGGCTAGCTATCGCCTCTCAGCGCTCTGAAGCGTGAGCAGAACTGGGCAGCTGCCAAAAGGAGCGCAGCGCCAAAGGAGGACTCGGGCTATGGCTGCCTCCGCCTCTTGTCTCGAAGCAGGCAACGAGAGTGGCCCGCAGCGGGGCGTGGGAGGATCAGTGTCCACCCAGCGGGTCCGCCCGCCCGTCAGCACCTATGGACCAGCCAGGACCCCGCCTCTCCACAGCCCTGCCCAGCCCCACGCTCCAGGAGCTGCCTTCGCCCAGCCACAAAGACGCAGCGCCGCTCGCTCTCCCACCACGCAGAGGCACGCGCGCCTTTCGCGGAAAAGGCGGACTTTACCTTCAGGCACAGGTTCCCCAGGAGAAGCCATCGGGAGGGGGAGGGGGACGCTGAGACGAGCCAAGGGTAGCGGGAGACTTTTGTGCTCCCGCCTCTGCAGTCCGGCAAACTCCGACCCCGATACCAGTTGCCTCGGCACCTTCCTTGGCGGCTTGCTTCTCCACTTCCTGGTTTGGCTTTGATCACAGCCCCTGCTCTCTCCCTCCTGTTGGCGAAGAGGCTCTGGAGGGAGCGGAAGCTGCAGGTAAAGCCCGAACCAAGAAGGGAAGAAGCCTGTGCGGGGGGAGGTATGTTCTCCCCACCCCCAAGCTACACTTCATGCCAAATTGAAGAGAAAGAAAGAAAGAAGAAAGAAAGAAAGAAAGAAAGAAAGAAAGAAAGAAAGAAAGAAAGAAAGAAAGAAAGAAAGAAAGAAAGAAAGAAAGAAAGAAAGAAAGAAAACCTGATCTGTAGAGGAACTTTTCAAATAACTCACAAAAATGTGTGGGGTGGGCACCTTCACAGGCAAGGACACCATACTTAATTTGTAGAAACACTATGTGGAAAAAATGCCAAGATACTAACCATTATTTCTAGAAACTCAAGTGATTTTATTATATTCTCAGGTTTAATATTAGTGTGGAGAAAGAGAGTATTAATTTTTGTTCCCAGTGGAACAGTGTTAAAAATGTGGAGAACTCTAGGAAACCAAGAGCTTCCCTTTGCAATCTTGTTCATTCTGACAAACAGCCAGGTTTTACCAGTTCACATATAGCCATCCTTCAACAAGTGCTCTTGATCAAATGCAGATGTACAGTAAAATGGACCACAGTTTCCATCTATGGTTTATTGTATAACCACTGCAACATTTGGAAGCCCAGATTTCAACACTGCCTGATGTGCCTTTCGCAAAGCTGAAACACTGCAGTTGTTTATATCTTACCAGGATCCAACATCAGAAGCCTTGTGGAAAATTCACAATTAAAGTACTGCTGTTGGTATGCCCATGTGAAAGGCAGTTCTAAATGCATGACTTCTGAAGTGTGAAAAAGAGTTTTAAATGCTTTGTATTAGTTTTCAGAATCCACTGCTGGACATGCAGGAAGGCTGACATACTATTGCTTTTCAACCATTCTGTCCATGAACATGTGATTTTGATCTTAGCTTGTGCAGAAGTTCCCTTGGGTTATGTTATGCAATGCTTGCACTGGTTTCCTGTTGTCTCCTATATATAATTCAGTATTAACCTATAAAGCCTTTACTGACGTGGACCTTAAATACATCAGAGACTGTTCTCTCTTCTTTGTATTATCACAGACATTACAGAATTTTCTTGCCAGTGTCACCTGCAGACCAAATTCACACATTAAGTGCATGTTCCTAGTAGCTACTCCCTCATGGATGCCTGCCTTGTCGTGGCAATGGAAGGCCACCCAAGACGGACAGGCCACAGCAGAGAACTCAGACCAAGTGTGATCCACTGGAGAAGGAAATGGCAACCCACTACAGTATTTTTGCCAAGAAAACCCCATGGACAGTATCAAAAGGCTAAAGGATATGATGCCGGAAGATGAGCCCCTCAGGTCGGAAGGTGTCCAATATGCTACTGGGGAAGAGCAGAGGTCCAGTACAAGTAACCCCAGAAAGAGTGAAGCGGCTGGGCCAAAGCCGAAAGGATGCTCAGTTGTGGATGTGTCTGATGGTGAAAGGAAAGTCCGATGCTGCAAAGAACAATACTGCATGGGAACCTGGAATGTAAGATCTATAAATCAAGGTAAGCTTGACGTGGTCAAAATAAGATGGCAAGACTGGAGGATGCTTTTGGGTTACAGCAAAAGAAAATGACAGAGACAGCAGAGAAGGTGGATGACATTGCAAAGAAATGTCTGGCATCAGCAGAAGAAGTACAGAAAGTTAAGAAGAAGGTCTTGAAAGTTGAAAAACATCAAGAAAGACAAGATAATAAAGTGCTAATGCTTCAGATGGAAAAATCAAACCTAATTCTCCGTTTCCAGGGATTGAGAGAGGAAGAGGGTGAGGACCTTAGAGACATTTTGGCAAGTGCACTGGCACCACTGATTGGCAACGAAGCGGAAAAAATAAAAGAAGAGATGGATTTGGCCTATCGGGCCTACTCCAATTTCACAAGAAAAAACAAGTTGCCAGCAGAAGTGGTGGTGAAATTCTTAAAACAGCGTCTCAGGGACCAGATTTTAAAGGTTACATCAGCTTCACCCCTGAAAATTGGTGATCAACAGATTAAGATTTTGAAAGATGTTCCATTTGAAATCAGAATGAAAAGAAAGGAATACAAAGGATTGACCACTTTCTTACAAAAACACCAAACGAATTATAAATGGTTGGTGCCTGAAGGACTGGTTTTCAAGTTCAAGGATAAAAGAGAAAAAATAGACTCCATCTTCAAAGCTCAAGACTTCTTGAAAAAGCACGCCAGTAAAGAAGAAGGTGCAGAACTAGCCAAATGGATGTCGACGTTAAGCGTAGAAGACAGCAGCTCGGAGGGAGAGGTGAAGGACGAGGAAGAAAGAGGAGCGACGAGTTCAAAATACAACCTGAGAGGGAAAAATGGGAAGAATCCCAAAGTTTAAAAGTTGTTTATCTTTTTCGCTTTTTAATGGACTTTATTTTGGAAGAGAAAACTGATACCAGAAGGACAATACTAATATACTAATTGCCTTGTTTAAAAATAATAGAAGAAAAGAAGAAGCTTCGACGATGGAAGAAATTATGAATGCTCTGATTTGACTTTAAAAAGTTTAACAAATTAACATAATACTAACACCACTCACTTCTTTTCTTTGTCCCTCTGTATACCCTCCCTTATTTCTAATTTTAAGCGAAATATCTCCCCTCTTTAGGGGAGCAAATAAAGCATTTTTTTAAAAAAGAAAGAAAGAGCTTGCAGCCTTCCTGGATCCCTGTCCAGCCCAGCTCCCTCTCTTCTCCCTGGGTCACTGTCACCTTCGCGCATCTCCTGCTTAGAGGGCCGGTGCTTTAACACTCTCTACCGCTTTGCCAACCAAAGGCTCTGCTCTGCGATGGATGGCCCTGCTTGGCTTTCCCTCGAGAGACGGAGGGGCCTGAAAGAGGCTCAGTGCACACTCCAGGGAGGGAGGGATCGCCCTCTGCCCCCTTGGCTTCCCTTGGTGAGTGTGTCCAGACTGAGTGTGGAATGGATACAGAGATCAAATGAGCAGCCTCCGAATTATAAATGGGTTTCATCAGGGGTCATTTTGTAGAAAAAGAGGTGCAGGAGCTCATTAGCATAACTCATTAGCATAACTTATTTGCATATGCCACGCCCCCTGACCTCACCGGAAGTATGTCTGAAGGCGACACCCACCGCTCAGGCTCCACTGGACTGTTTTGGATCGCTAGCTGGGGGGGGGGGACACACAGATCTGCCCTTAGAGAGGAGGGAGAGCTTGTAACTGAAGGTGGGGGGAGGGCTCTGCAACTTACCTGGCTGCTTCTTGCTCCTCGTGGCCCAACTGAGGGCTGCTGGGGGCAGGGGGCGGGGCTTGTTGCCCTTGGCTCCTTACTGCCGGAGCTCCGCTCCTGTGCGCTCCCGCAGGAAATGACCCCTGGGTTTCATGAAGGAACAGAAGGGCCCACAATGTTTATTCAC